GAGGGACTCAGCTCCGCGCACTCTTCCTGTGTTTCAGATCGGCCCCTTCCCCTCTAAGCTACGGGTTTAAGTCGGGGACACCTGCACTGTCGTTTGTAGCTCTACCAAGAAGCACTGGAATCTTGTTGGCCCGCAAACCATCTTCCTCCTCCTTCCAGCTGAGTGAGAACAGCCGAGAACATCTTTATAATTGAAAGTGAAACTCTTGAAAAACTAAGAAAATTTCTCTATTTTCAAAGCTGAGGAAATAGTAAATTTTACTCGAATTCGTTATTTGAATTTCTATATTCGATTGTTTAACAAATACCGAGTTTGAGATTTCATATAAACAGCAGAGAGAGAGATACCAACATGAACAGCAGATGAAGCCATTTGTGCCTGGGCTGCTTTCACTGCACTGTGATGGTGACAGGGCTGTTGGTTACCTACCTGTTCTCAAAATTCCAAACGGCCCTGGTTGAGTCAAGGGCATGGAGGAGCGAGCAATAGCTCAAGAACGATATTAACTAGTCCACAGGGGATCGAGAATTGATAATTAGGTGCTGGGGTTTTTTTCATTGTAAAAAAACACATAACAATTTACCACCTTTAACCATTTTTAAGCGTACAGTTCGGTAGTGTCAACTGTTTGCGTTGTTGTGCAATGACCAGCTCCATCAGTTTTCATCTGGAGAAACTGAAATGTCGCTGTCACACAGCTGCCCGCCTCCCGCCCAGCTCCGCCCCCGCCCCTGGAGACCTGCGTCCTGCGGTCTATCTCTGTGAATCTGACTGCTCTGGGTGCCTCGCATGAGAGCAGTTACATAGTGTTTGTCTTCTTATGACTGGCTGATTTCACTTAGTAGCGTGTCCTCAAGGGTCATCCACAGTGTAGCGTGTGGCAGGGTTTTCTTCCTTTTTAAGGCTGGGTAATAATCCGTTGTGATGTAGAACGCATTCGTCGGTGGATTGGCCCATCTGCGGGCACTGGGGTCGCTTCTGTCTCCTGGCGGCTGTGAACAGCCCTGCACCAAGCACGGGTGTGCGGGTCTCCCAGGCTCTGCTTCCAGTTGTTCCGGGTCTGTTTGCGGCAGGAAGTGGAATCCCGGATCACGTGGTGGTTGTATTTTTAACTTTCTGAGAAGCCAGCCAGCCGGTCGCCGCAGTGGCTGCACATTCTATACAGTCCCCGCACCGGGCGCAGGGACTCTGGTCTCCCACGTCCTCACCTGCGCTTGTCATTGTGCGTGTGTGTGTTTGAGACATGGTCGGATCCTCTACCTTAAAGTGTGTGCGTGTATTTACATATACACGTATTAATTGAACATTACTATTTTACCAAATTATTTATGGTTATTATTATCATTTACCTTTTGGACCCTTTCACGCCCCCTCCGACCCACCTCTGGCAGTCAACAACCTGACCTCTGTATCTATGCTTTGTGATAATAGTGATAACAATGCCAGCTTCAGCGAGAAAACACAGCACGTGTATACAGGACCTTGTGGGCTGCCGCCCCTCTCGGGCTCAGCCTGGCGGTGCCGCAGCGTGTCCCGTCCGAACACACCCTCCTGCTGTGCCGTGTTTTCTCTTCCCTGACCTGCCAGGAAGCCCCTTTGCCAGACGCTGTCTCAAGGGCTCTTAAACCTCCTTCCTGAAGCACATGCACTTAGACCTGTGAAGGCGGGACAGGTGACGACGGACTTCTGGACCTCCGTGCTCGTGCAGGCGTGGGGACACAGGCATAGGCGTGTAAGGCCGTCGGGAGGGTGAGTCTGGGGGAACCTTCTGAGCGCGCATCTGGCAGCAGGTGGCAAACTTTAAAACCTGTGTGTTCGCTTGATTCCGCAATCCTGCCTCCTCCAAGACTAACTGGCTGTGAGGATGGCCGTTCCAGGGTTATGTATAAAACATCGAAACCCAGCGGAGATGTGCCGAGGGAACGAACTCCTGCTGATGGGGTCACTGTGACCATTAATCTTTCTCCCTGGTACTTTTTGTCACTTTCTGAAATATTTTATGCTGGGCATATATTACCATTACAGTAGAAAAATGTTTTTAAGGTTGCATTGGTTTGCTAGGGCTGCAGTCACAGCGTCACCATCACAGTCTTGGCGGCTTAAATGGCAGAAACGTGTCGTCTCCCGTTCTGGGTGCTGGAGGTCTGAGGGCTGGGTGCTGCAGGGTGTTTCCTTCGGCGATAGACACCCGCCCGTCCCCAGCCTCTGGTGGTTGCAGGCGGTCTGCCTTGCCCCATCACGTGACTTGTCCCTGTCGGCACGTCTGCATCCAGGTCTCCCCTCTGTGGGGACACCAGTCACGCCGGGTTAGGGCTGTACCCTAAGAACCTTGTTGTACCCGGACTACCTCTGTAAGACCCCGTTTCTCGTTTAGTCACATTCCAAGGTCTTGGGGGTTAGGACTCCAACATGCCTTTTTGTGGGGACACAGTAACCCATAGCAAAAGTATTTCCTTAAACGAAGAAAAAGTGATAAACTTCTGAAATGTCAATGTCAGAAATGTGTGGAATTTTGAATCTCCTCTCCGGTGGCGGCGCTGGATGCCCACAACTGAGACTAGAGGCCACCCCTGGCTCTGGGCAGAGGGGCTGCTGGCCTCATGGGTGCTCTGGGGGTGTCTCCTTTAAAGTTGATTTTTGGGTCCTGTTGTTAAATGAAATGCAGCCTCCTGTGCAGGATGAAGGGACTGTTTGTTTTCCCGTCAGAAAACCTAGAATTTTTGTGGGTGACAGGGGTGGCTGTCATTCAGTTCCCTCTGGTGCTTTCCGGTGCCTGCTTTGTCCTCTGCCGATTCCGGGGCTCTGGCTTCTGTGGGAGGCGGTGGACACTGCCGGCCCCTCCTGTGGGAAAGGGTGAGGGTCCCTAGCCCTGTCTCCCAGCTCTGTTGGCCACTTGCTCGTGGCCTCCCCACCCCCCACCGATGGGCGGAGTGCCACCTGGGGCAGCAGAGCGTCATCTCGGGTTCTGATCTACAGGCGCACCCTGCCGGGGACGCAGGGGCACAGAACCGAAAGAAGAAGGGGAAAAGTAGACGCGGGCTGGACGCTGGAGCCTGCCGGCAGGGTGACCAGCGAAGTTTTGTTGGGAGGCTCGGAGGAGATGCAGGCGGGACGCTGTGGGGACAGACCTGCGGTGTGGGCCACCTGCTCACGCCTCGCCCTGGGCAGGGTCCTTTGGCCACACGGCGTCTCCCTTTTATCCACGTAGTCTCTGATAGCGGTGTCCCGCAGCGGTGCGCCGTTAGGCACAGCGCCGAGCGTCGAGCTTCCTCTGAGCAGGTGTCACGCTTGCTCTCCGCGCACATGACTTCGGCCGGGTCTCAGAGGCCACGTGGGGGACAGAAACAGCGCTGTGCTCCCCTGGTTTCCGCGCGCACCCTGGCGGAGAGCAGCTCGCCCGCGGGCGCAGGGACCAGGGCGCGGGGCCTCTCCCGAACCCTTGCAGGGCTTTGCCTACGGGTGTCGGGCACTCCCAGAAGCCACAGAGCTGCAGAAACAGTTTTTATTTTGTCTTTAAAAGATGTGTTCACTTTCTAGACCGTTTAACTAACACACACTCATACACACACACGCACGCACGCGCGCGCGCTCTCATTTGTCTCTGGGAGGCTGCCGGCCGCAGCGCATCGCCATTCTCCATCCGAAACAGAAAGTAGGGCTGGGGCGACCCGCTTCTTTATTGCGTCAGCACGTTGCTGCCGTCAACGCTCAGGTTTCAGACCTACTTGGAGCCACGCATGTGATGGCTCCAGGACACCCCCTCTCCCCACCCTCCCCGGGGTCCGATGTCACATAACCTGGAGGTGGCCTCATTCCCTCACCTTTGGTCCCTGCAGCCCGGTGGACAGGGTAGATCTGGAGCTTTCGCCCTCCCTCAGGGCTTGGGGCCCCGAGATGCTCAGCGCTGGCAGTCTAGTCAGTGCCCAGGGGACAGAGGCCCCTCTAAGGCACGCCCAGCCCACAGGGGACCTGACGGAGCTGTTTCCCACTCACAGTGATTGTGCTAGTG